TTTTCTGATAATAAAGTATATAAAGTTTTTTTAAAATTTTCTTAAACTTATTAAAGACATCTCTTCAAATGGGTTGAACAATAATTTTTTTAGTCTCAAAATAAATTCTAGTGTTCAATCAATTATGTAAATCAAGAAATTTGTGGTCCTTTCTAATGGCTAAGTAATGGAGAATTTGTGCAATTTTTACATATCACTCTCAAGTCTCAATGATAACATTTGCTACATCATGAAATTCAGAAAAAAAAAAAAAACTATATGTAACTGGCTTCATCTTCTAGAAAGTAATTTTTGTGATGACTTGAGAAAGGAATTGATTTAGTTGCATATTAATTGAGCCAACAACATGCATCGTGGGTCTAGACTTTGGATTTACATCTAAGCACAAAAGGGCCATCTCCTTTATGGAAATCAATTTGTTCGACTTCAAGGGAGGGAAACGGAAAGCTTTGGATCCAAACATATCACCAAACTCTATGTCATGTTGGCAGATGATGAACGGAAATTTGAGAGAGGAAAATCTCTTGGATGCTCCCTGGATTACTTCCATTGCCAACACTCCGAAGCTATAGACATGATTTCTCTGTTACCTTCATTATTTAAGCAGCTCTACAAAAAATGAAATATATGTATCACAATGAAATTTTTGGTTGTGCATCATTTAACTAAGAGAGTAATGGGAGAGATTATATAAAGATACCTGGGAACACATATCCATTAGTGCCAATAAGTCGGTCCAAGTTTGGAGGTCTGGGTAAGAAGAGCTTAGCTGTTCCAAAGGTCTTGACACATGAGTTTATTCCAAACATTAGTATATCTTACTGATTCTGTCTCGATGGACATTGGTGGGAAACAATCGTGGTGCAGGTAAGCCAAGGCATGAGCTAACCTTTTACGACATTCATCTCTTACTCCAATCTAGTTCCACTGCTTCTTTTCATCAGTTTAGGATGAAGCCAAGCTACCCCTTTCGAGTACATGTAGACTAGAGTGGAAAAGCAACCCGCGGCCTGACCCGACCGACCCGCGGCGGGTTGCTGTTACTGGCGGGTCGGTCCTGACTCGCCCGGTAACCCATGTTGGGAATTGGCTGGCCCAACCCGGACCGCCACCCTAACATAGGGTTAGGCCGCGGTTGGGCGGGTTTAACCCGCATCATTTATTATTTATTTTTTTTAATTTGTTTTGTTTTGTTTTATTTTAACGTTTTCAAATGAATATAAACAATTATAAATAAATAATGAACTTGGTTTTTAGTTAAGTGTTAATGTCTTTTCAAATATACCTAATAATTAAATTAATTTTTTTTTTTTAACATTCCAAATATTAATTCAATTTTAATACATTAAATTGTAATATAAGAATAATTTAAATTTATTCATTTAAAAAATAAAATAAGAAATACAATAATTATTGCCTCGTTTTAAAAACCTTACAAGAAAACCCCATAGGACAAAAACTGGTAAGGAGAAAAAGGAGTGATTTATTGACAATTAATTTACAAGTTACAATTACAAAACAAACAATTTGGAGTTCACTAGGACCTCCCTCTCGTATCATCCATATTACAAAATGAAATGTTCTTAAAGTATCGTCGACAACCTCGTATGACCTTGATGGCGCGACCATTCCAATCTCGAAGATGTGAGGACTTCTAATCATTGGTGGTGAAAGTTAGTCACCTTTCATTAAAATCTCTCCACTTGCACTAAATGTTTGTTTGGATGAGACGGTTGAGAAGGAACAACGAAAACATCCAAGGCCTTGATAATACCGGAAAAATATATTTTCGACTCTCCAATAGTCTAAGAGATCAATGTTGGCTCTTTGTTGTGGATCTACTGGTAACATTTCAGGGTTGCCAAAATATTGTTGAAGCTCATTACTCTGTGACGCATGGAAGACAGTACATTAGTTGTTGTTGTTGGTGGAGCTTTTGAAGAGGAGTGGTGCTTCGGATTCGGGTCCTCTTCGGTCTATTCAGTGCACACCCAAGAGTAGAAGTCTTCATGTTTTTTTGATGCAGCTTCCCTGATGTTTCGCCTCTTGTGGGTTTCCATACCTGTTTCATACTGGAATAACTTCAAAAAGTGTATTTTTACCTCTCTATTGATTGGCATATACTTCGTTTGTAAAATTTGCACATAAATTATCAAAACCATTTTCTAAACCTGCTAATAATTCTAGAATCAAAGATCTCACTAACAATAAAGAAAAGGAATGGGTTCGAATATTTTTTAAAAAAAAAAATTCCATGCCTTTATTGGTGCATTTAAAATTACATGTCTTGTTGTTTTTTTAAAATAACTCGAAAATATTTATAATTGATGATTACCAATAGACTAGTAGGATAATACACACAAGAAAAGTTGTAAAGTGGGTTGGTAAAAAGTTTTAAGAAATAAATAGAAATATTTTAGCTATTTGCCAATCATTTTTTACCAAAAATGAGACCTCTATTATTGCTACAAAATAACTAAATATATTAGCAAAGTAAACAAATCAAACATTAAATAAGTTACTATTCCAATCTAACAGGCATGTCTAATGCAAAGTTTTAGGGAGACATATTTGATTTATCAAAACGTCTTGAAATCGCTTTCTTTATTAATACTAGTAATCTAGCTAAACAATCTCTAATTTATTAATATGTTTCTTTAATTGTTTTATACCGCTTTGCAAATTTAATTAATAATATAGCATGCACAACGTGGTGAAAAAACACTTCAAATTGTATATAAAGGTATAAATTACTTTGAAAATATCTATAACTTACTATTAGAACTGCATTATAAAGTTAAACTTATCATTTACAACAACATCATAATCTTCTAAAACTTCAACAATTTATTATAAATTTTGTTTATACTAGACAACATCCAGTAATTAAATCCTAATAAAGATTTATTTAATTTACATTTTTATCAAATAATGACTAGTCACACAAATATAATCTGTTAGCTCTACCACTCCAATATCAACAGTAGGAGCCACACTAACATGACAAGTATGTATTTATTTTTTAATTCTAATTTCATTTTTTTAAACAATTTTATAAATCATTTTAGTTGCAGTTTTAGAATAACTTTTAAAATCCTAGAAAAAATGAAATTTGAAAAATTTTTCAAAATATTGTATCTTCAGCCATATTAATAGGTGATCAGTTACAACAATATAAAAGCTAAATGTTCCTATATACATCAGAATTATTAATGCCAATTAGTACTCAATATTGTTATTTGAGGTTGATTGCTTTCTCTATTTCCATGTTGATTAATAGGTTATTAGCATGTCTTTTTAACGTACTAGTACCATACCTGATCAGCTTTATAATATTTCCACAGTTTGCATCTCGCTTCTTGACTTGGAACGCCATTTTCTGTCTACGTAAAACTTGTCAAAATGGGCTTCAAACATCTGATGGTGTCTGTCTCGCTTTCGACGGTAGTTGATGATCCCACCTCAGCTTGAGATGAAGTTGGACGAGCACGACGATTACGAGGACAACTTCTAGAACCACCGGGAGCTGTTTGAAATCGGGGGCATATTTTGAGGTGTATCGGATTCTGAGAATGGGAAAGTGGGACTATTTGAATCTCCTCCTGCATTTATGTTAGTAAAATCAGCAGGACTAGGACTAGGATAGTAGTTTCCTTCATCATTGTAATTGATAGGAGAGAAATATCTATCCATTGTAATTGAAAAAAAAAATTGATGTAGAAGAAATAAAAATTAAAGAAATAGATTTGGAATATGGAATTTGGAGTTTGGAAAATTGGAAATATAAATTAAAAATTGCAAAAACTAATAAAAATTAAAATACGAGCAAATTGATAACAAAGAAATTAAGAGAATAAATGAATAATTGAGAGATTAGAGATTAGAGAATATGAGAGAATGAGAGAATTTGAGTTGTGAGAAAAATGTGAGAGTTTAGGGCCAATTTATAGGAAAAAATGGGAAATAAAAATGACAAAAAAACCCCTTCAACGGCTATATTTCAAGGGTAAAGGGGTAATTTGAAAAATAAAATATTTTTTTTTTAATTTTTTGCGGGTCTCTTTCAAAAGAGACAAAACAGCAATCAGCCGGGTTGCGAGTTGCCATCTTGCAACCTGACCCCCCCAAGGGTTGCTGCCGAGTTAGGGTCAAACTGGACCGCCATTTTGGCGGTCCGGGTTCAACCCGCTTCATTACAGGCTGGGTCAGGGTTGACCCACCTAACCCGGCCCAAATGTTCCACCTCTAAGGTAGAGCAAGAATGAGTGTCAAGAATGTGAACAGAAGCCAAAAAATTTCACGACATTTCGATGCCTTATCACTGTTAATACTTGTATTTTGCTTAAGAACTCTTTTTGATTTGCTATATATCAGTAGACACAGAGTGAATTTTCTTCACTGCTACAGTGTTCCTTGATAGTTCAGCTTTGTAAACACTTCCTTGGCCACCTATCCCAATGCAATAATCAGAATGAAAATCATTTGTTCTTTTCACAATTTCTTCATACATCCTTTTTCCTTCAAAAATTGAAATTGAAAAGACGTCTCCATCATTCTCAATGCTTTTTACTTCTTGCGAGTCTCCCTTCCTTCTCTGGGAACTGTTGAGAATTCGGATTACCACAACTGAAAAAAACAAGCACTATTAAAACATGAAACAAAATTACCAGGAAAATCAACAAATCCTTGCTCACTCCATGTTTGCTTGATTCAAAAGCTTTGAAAGATTTGCAAGGTTGCAATCCGATAACATCACCACACAAATCTTTGTTCCCTTGTAATGCTTCAATGGAAGCATTTTGAAACGTTGTGGAATTTGGAATTGGACCCTCCAACTCATTGTAGGAAATGTCAATGCTAGACAGGGCAAACATATTTTGAAATCCTCCTAGAATGAACCTAGAAAGGTTATTGTGGGAGAGATTCAACTTTTGCAAAACCTCCAAATCACATATTTGAGAAGGTATCTTTCCTCTAAGTAAATTATAACTCAAATCTAGCTATGAAAGTTGACTTAGCTTTCCCAATTGAGGTGGAATTTCTTGGGTAAACTGGTTGCTGCTCAAATTCAAGGAATAGATTTTCAACAAGTTCCCTAAATTTTCAGGTATTGATTTGGTCAACTTGTTAGCCGACAAGTCAAAACAAGTGATGTCTGAGAGGGATCCAATTTCCAGAGGTATACCACCAGAAAGTTTGTTCCCATTCAAAATCAGCTCCTCTAACAGACTCAACTTTTCCAGTTCTTTTGGAATCACTCCAGCTAGAAGATTTGAAGAAAGATCAAGTCTACCAAGTTTTGTTAAGTTTCCAAGCTCAGCTGGAATGCTGCCAGTAATTTTATTAGCTGCAATCTTTAAGGTGCCTAATTTTTGACACTTTGCGCAGTTAGACAAGATTTCACCATTAAACCTGTTTTGGCTGAGATCTAAGTACTCGAGGTGTGGATAGATGCCAAAATCTTCTGATATATCACCAACAAATTCATTTTTTTCCAGGCAAAGTCTCTTTAGGCTTGTGCAATTTCTCAAGCCTTTGGGGATTGGACCTCGGAGATGGTTGCCATTCACTGTGAAGTTCTCAAGTAAACCACTATGACAAATATTTGGGGTAAAAAACTAGTGAAGTGATTGTTATCAAGTGGCAATACAGACAAGTTCTTGAGATTTCCAACTTCTTGAGAAATCGAATCGGAAAGAGTGTTGTTACAGAGATAAAGAGTTTTTAAATTGCTTAAATTACCAAAAGAAGGAGGAATATGACCACTCAGCTGATTTTCGCTTAATTCTAAATACATAAGAGACTTCAAATTTCCTATGTCCTCGGGAATCGATCCAGAAAGTTGATTATTGTATAATTGAAGAAGGATGAAGTTTTTCAGACCACCTAGTGATGCTGGAATTGAACCAGAAAGATTGTTAGAGTAAAGGCTTAATTCTGAGAGAGATACAATATTTCCTAATTCTTGAGGAATCGAACCAGAAAGTTGGTTTTTGAACATGTACAGTATAGTTAGGTTTCTCAGGTTTCCAAAACTTGACGGGATTGGACCAGTTAAGCTATTGGTATCTACATCAAGTTTATCGAGATTGGAGAGGTTTCCCATTTTTGGAGGAATTGAACCAGAAAGTGAATTGAAAAGACACAAAATACCCAAATTGCTCAAATTACTCAAAGAAACAGGAATTGAACCGTCCAAATGGTTACCAGACAAGGTAAGCTCATTAAGGGAACTCAGTTGGCCTAATTCTTGTGGAATTGAGCCATTTAATTGATTATCACCCGGGTGGAGGGTTTCTAGCTGTCCTAGGAGGGTAATTTCAACAGGAATTTCCCCATAAAACTGATTCATCGACAAGTCAAAATACTTCAGTTTTGAAAGATTACCTATTTGTGTCGGGATAACACCAAAGAGTTCATTTATGCCAAAATCAACATATCTAAGATGGGGAAATGATGAGAATGACAATTCATCGAGCCTACCTTTTAAACTTGAAATAGACATGCTAAATCTATCGATTCTTCTGGCAATGTTGCAAGAAATTCCAGACCAAGTACAAGGGCTTATTCTGTTTTCGGGTTGAGTAGAATTATTAGTGGTGTTTATAGGAGAAAAAGTCCTTAAAGATAGGGGAGAACGGTTCTGGTTTTGAAGGCTGGCTTTCCATTTTAGAAGAGCTTGTGCTTCTTCAGTGGAGTCAAAAGCAACCTTGTGAGATAATTGAAACACAACAAACAGGATCATACTGACAAGTGAGATTGTTGTCTCCAAGGTTGATAAAACCATTGTTTATTCAATTTCTACTTGATCCAAAGCTAATTCTGAACTTTGATATATATAAAAAATTCCATCTAATTTAGAACAGTCATTAAGACTTTGCAGTATATTTAAAATAATTCCATGAAATGTTTCAAAAGAAGATGATACTCCAGGACACTTTTGAAAGTAGCGTGTTAGGTTTCCTCAATTACCCTAATTATAAATTAAACCAAGTGAGACTTTAATGCCCACTTCTCCGTCTCAAAAGTCTCTCATTTGTAAAATGTAATCATGCAATATCCAACACCACTAACTTTTTTTTAGCAATAAATATATGAGTCAACCATCCCAAGTCAAGGTCTTTGTCTTTTACTGGATGCGTTTTTAAAAGTATTTTGATCATTGTAAAGAGGTAGGTCCTCTTTGATTGATACACTTCAGGGTAATTTTTCTCTGCCACTTATTGGCTAAAGAGGACCTACCTCTTTACAATAATCAAAGTTTTTATGCAAAACAATGTTCGTTTTGTTTTTTCTTTCAAATACTAAGGAAGAGATTTATCTATGTATATAGACGCAAATTGAATATTTGATGGCAGTAAAAACCTTTGAGTAACATTTTCTTTCTTTATGACTAGCACTAGTAGTGTTCAATCATCATCCATGAACAACAAATTTCAAGTCCTGAATACCTCAAACTTGAAATGATTAATTTTAAAATTTATGCCATGTGAAAAACATTAGATATACTTTGAATTGGTCATGCACAAAATGATTATGTAACTTAAGAAAATATTTTGAGCGTATTTTTCATTAATTAGAGTCCCCGTCCATCACGGAAGCTTCAGTATTAATTGTAAAGGGAGAACGNATCTAATCTACCAGTCAAAGGAGCTTATATTTTTCGTACTGTTTTATTATATTTTAAAAGCGTTTATTGAATTCAAAATAAGCAATTTTCTAGAGGTGGGTATTTGAGACTGGGTCTATAAATCACCGGTCCTAAGAAGTTTGGTCCCAAAATAGGACCAGGCCTAAGGAGGAGGGCCCGTTCCCTCCACTGAGCCCTCCTCCAAGTCCTAGGCCTGGACCCAAAATTTTTTAAATATTTTCATTTTAATCTCTTATACAATTACATAAAATCTCCTATAAATTTTGAAATAAACATAAATCATAAGGGTTAAAAGGAAACTTTACAAAATTTATTAAAGAAAAGAAAATTACCTTTCTTTCAACCAACTGTCGCATGACTGTTGGCAGTAGCCAACTGTCATTTTTCTGGGGGGGCGGGGGCAAAGGTTTTCTATTTTCATTTCACCTCCACAACTACATTATAAATAACCCTAAAATCTTTCATTTTTTCCACACCACTCAATCTTTTATTCTCTCAATCTCTCTACTCCAAATCTTCAATCAAATTCTCATTCAATATATATTTATATTTATAATTTATTCATATTATTTATTTATATTATTCAATTTTTTCTGTTTTTCAATATCATCTCTCATTCATATTATTAATTAATTTCTTTTCATTTTAATTATTTATTATTTTATCATAAATTTATAATAGATTCTCGAAATAATGCATTCGGGGGATTATCCCCAAATGAGTTTTACGTTCCATCCACTGAAGAAATGGAAGGGTTCAATCCATTTTCACCATTTCCTCCAAAGGCAGCAACTGCAATTCCACAACCACATTCGATCGGGACAAGGTGTAGTCAAACACATGTGAGCTACGAGTCAACGAGTACGGGCATAGCCCAACCCGCCTGACCGTCAAGAGGGTCGTGTCCGATGTATGGCGACAGTTCACCAAATCAAAACGGCCAAAGACAAATAGGGAGGGGAAGAATCGTGTGGGATATGTAATTTATGTGGAACCATTATTGGCGCTGAGAAGGGGACTTCGACGATGCGATGACACGTGGAGAAGAAGCACCCCCAAATAATGCAGTTGCCCAATACATCTTTAACTGGATCAGGTAGACAAATTCAAACTCAACATAATCTTAATCCATAGTCCTTAACATGGCAATACAATGCAAATGTTGCACGAGAGGAAATAGCAAGATTCATAGTTGCTATGGACTCTCCCATTTGTTTATCTGAAAATCCTTACTTTATTCACATGATTAAAACTGCATTTTGTCCAGCATATACCCTTGTTAGTAGAAGTACAAGTAGAAAAGAAACTTTATAACAAAATAAATAATAAACTTAAAAACGACTTTCAAAATTTTAGGAATATATCTATNCGGAAAATGAAAGATCTACGCGTTACGACACAGATCCGATGGGTCTGTGTCGTAACGCAATTTTTCGGCCAGATTCCGGCGGTGGTGGCCGGAATCTGGCACTGCGGGGGTGGCGGGGGTGTTTTTGTTATTTTATAAAATTTTTATATATTGGGCTGTTTAGTCAAATTAGCAAACCTAGGGGGTTTTTTAGAAGTTTTTAAATTTATAAAAAACTAAAAATTAAACTTTCAAGGGTATTTTAGTCTTTTCACTATTATCTAACCAAAATCATTAACAGAACATGACGGAAGGTATCCATTTGTCGTTTCAAAACCTTTTGGGTATCAACTTATCATTTCAACAAACCTTGGGTATGTATAAGTCGTTCAGCCTAATTGTAAAATATAAAATCCAGTCCGTGTTTCATTCAAACAATGTATGGTAATTGGGGTATAATTTTGATTTGGAAAAAAACAGTAAATGGTCTTCTTCCTTACCTCTTCAAAATCTTGTTTGAATAATTTGGATAGTCAAAGATACATTAATGATTTCTGAAAATTTCTCTCTCCAGTTTTGCTAAATAAATAATTTGGATGGCTTGTGTTAAGTGCCAGCTGCACCGTTTCAACAACTAATTCAGAATTTATGTAACCGATCGCTCTCAAGTCTCAATGTAGCTAAATTGCGGAAATGTAATATTTTTGATTAAATATGTAATTTAGTAAAATACAGAAAAAAAAAAAAAAAAAAAGATTTGCTTGGTTTTAGCTAAGCTAGTAGAAATATGACAAAACTTACAACACAATAGATTTAGAGACTTAAGAAAGATGGTTCTGGGATGACAAGATTTAGTTGCACAGTCAGCACAGACACAACTTTATAGCAATAAATATCTGAGTCAACCGTCAACCATCCCAAGTCAAGGTCTTTCTCTTTTACTGGCTGCATTTTCAAAAGTACTTCGATATTGTAAAGAGGTAGGTCCTCTTTGATTGATATGCTTCGGAATAATTTTTCTGCCATTTATCGGCTAAAGGGACCTACCTCTTTACAATAATCAAAATAAAGCCCTAGCCACGAATAGAACAAGCATTTTTAAGGCAAAGTCAACAACATGGTGCTTGAAAATCTACCCAAAATAAAGCCCTAGTCACGAATAGGAACATGATTTCTAAATATGAATCAGCAAATGGCAGATTGTGCTAAGTGCCAGCTGCACTGTTTCAACAACTAATTGAGAATTTTTGTAACCGATCAGTCCCAAGTCTCAATGTAGTTGAATTCCAGAAATATGATAACTTTTATTAAATATGTAATTTAGTAAAATACAGAAAAAAAATATATGTCTGGTTTAGCTAAGCTGGTACAAACAGGATAAAACTTACAAACAATAGATTCAGAAACTTAAGAATGACAAGATTTAGTTGTACAAAAGATGAGACACAATCGGTCTAGACTGTGGACTTGCATCTAAGCATAAAAAGGCCAAATCCATGATGGTAATCAATTTGTTCCGAACTTCTAGGGAGGGAAATGGAAGCCTTGGATCCAACATATCATTAAGCTCTATGTTCATGCTTACAAATGAACCTGAAAAAGAGGCGAGAACATCTCCGGGATGCTTCCCTAGGATGACTTCCAATGCCAACACCCCAAAGCTATACACATCACATTTCTCGGTCACCTTCATTGTGTAAGCAAGCTCTGTAAAGTGAAAGAAATATGCAACCTTTATCATTGATTATCCAATAAGGGTAGTGTAAAATGATAGTGAAGGAATTATATACCTGGTGCAACGTATCCATATGTGCCTGCAAGTTGATTCCAATTAGATGAGTCTGGCTTGAGAAGCTTAGTAGTTCCAAAATCTGAGACATGAGCTACATATTCCATATCTAACAGGATGTTCTTGCTTGATATGTCGCGATGGACAATTGGTGGGAAGCAATCATGGTGCATGTAAGACATGGCATGAGCCACACCTTTTATGACGTTCACTCTCTTACTCCAATCCAGCACTACTGCTCCTGCTTCATTGCTCAGAATTGCGGCCAAGCTACCCCTCTCAAGATACTCGTAGACTAAGAATGAGTGTCGAGAATGTGAACAAAAACCAAAAAATTTCACGATATTTCGATGCTTTATCTCTGTCAATACCCGTATTTCACTCAGGAAATCTTTTTGATTGGCTATATCACCTGTATACATAGAGTGGATTTTCTTAACTGCTACAATATTCCCTGGTGATAACTCAGCTTTGTAAACACTTCCATAACCACCTTTCCCAATGAAGTGATTGGCATCAAAATCCTTGGTTGCTGCTATGATTTTTTCATACATCTTTCTTCCTTTAAAAGTTGATATCGAGAGAAATTCTTCATTGTTCATCCCACTTTCTTTATCTTGTGAGTCTCTCTTTGTTCTTCTGGAACTAAAGAGTATACAGATCACCACAAGAGAAAGAACAAGAGCCCCTAGAAGAGGGAAAAAAACTGTAAAAAGATTATCCAACCCTTTTTCAAGCCACATTTTGCTGCAGGTGAAGTTCTGCAAGGTCGTAGCCCTCTAACATCACCACACAAATCTTTGTTCCCTCGTAGTTCTTCGATGGTAGCATCTTGAAATGCCGTTGTGTTGGGAATTGGACCTTGCAACTGATTGTCAGATATGTCAATACTCAACAAGTGCATCTTCTCAAATTCTCTTGGAATGAACCCAGAGAGGTTATTGTGGGAGAAATTAAGATTTTGCAAGTCCTCTAAAACACAGATTTCAGAGGGTATCTTTCCACTGAGGAAGTTATGACTCAAATCTAACTCTGTCAGTAGACTTAGCTTCCCCAACTGAGGTGGAATATCTTGGGTAAAGTGGTTGTTGCTCAAATTCAAGCTGTACATTTGCAACAAGTTCCCTAGAGTTCCAGGGATTGATTTGCCCAACCTGTTTGTAGACAAATCAAGACTCTTGATTTCGGTGAGTAATCCAATTTCCAGAGGTATACCACCAGAAATTTGATTGCCATTCAAAATTAGACGCTCCAGAGAATTTAAATTTCTGAATTCTTTTGGAATCTCCCAAACTAGATTATTTGAAGAAAGATCAAGAACATCTAGTCGAGTTAAGTTTCCAAGTTCAACTGGTATACTGCCAGTAAGATTATTCTTTGCCATCTTTAGGGTGCCTAATTTTGGACACTGTCCCCAGCTAGATGAGATTTCACCATAAAATTTATTATGGCTGAGATCTAGTAGATCTAGCTTTGGATAGATGCCAAAATCTTCAGATATATTTCCAACAAGTTGGTTTCCTTGCATAAGGATTCTTGTTAGGCTTGTGCAATTTCTCAAGCCTTTGGAAATTGGACCAGAAAAATTGTTGTCATTCACACTGAACCTCTCAAGTGAACCACCATGACATATATTATGGGGTAAAGAACCAGTGAAGCCGTTCTGGTCTATTTCCAATATAGCCAAACTCATGAAATTTCCAATTTCCTGGGGAATGGTACCAGAAAGATCGTTATCACGAAGGAATAAGATCTTTAAGTTGCTCAGATTTTTAAAGGAACCAGGAATAGAACCACTGAGTAGATTTTGGCTCAACTCTAAATCAACAAGGTTTGTCAGGTTTCCTATTTCAAGGGGAATAGAGCCAGAAAGTTGATTTTTGTATAAATGAAGATTAAGGAGATTTCTCAAGGCACCAAGAGGCGCTGGAATTGAACCTGAAAGATTGTTGCTATGAAGACTAATATTGGTGAGAGACTTCAAATTTCCTAATTCCTTGGGAATGGAACCAGAAAGTTGGTTTATGAACATGTGCAAGACTTCCAGGTTTCTAAGGTTTCCAAGACTTGAAGGGATTGGACCAGTGAAGCTATTTTTATCGATGTAAAGTTCAAACAGATTCGAGAGGTTTCCCATTTCTGGAGGAATGGGACCAAAAAGTGAATTATTAGAAAGAGACAACCAAGCCAAGTTGCTCAAATTTCCCAAAGAAGTAGGAATTGAACCATCCAAGCNCATTGCTCTACTGTGATAATAAGTCAGCATTGCAGATTGCGGCAAATCCCATGTATCATGAGAGAACAAAACACATAGAGATAGATTGTCATTTTATAAGAGAGAAAATTCAAGGAGGTTTGATCATTGCAAGATATATACCAACTGGAGAACAAGTGGCAGACGTGATGACAAAAGGGTTGGGAAGGCTTCAACATGAAAAACTTTTGTCCAAGTTATGCTTGAAAGATATACATAAGATGCCAACTTGAGGGGGAGTGTTAAAGATCAAGTTGTTATGTATATAGAAGAAAACTTAGTTAGTTAGAAATTAGTTATGCTGAGCTGTAAGTTTGTTAAGATAGTTAGAAGAAATTAGTTAAACGACTGTGTATTATTTCTTTGTATATAAGCAACAATGTAACAGACTTCTCATTAATTGAATAAGAGAATTCTTCATTTTCACATTTCTTGCCCCCAAATTAACAACTACAAAAAGCATAATAATCATTGCGTGAAAACCCAACCGAAACCTTAGAAAATTGAGGATCCATAATATATACCCGATTTATGAGATTCTCAAGACAAGCACTTCTGCGCTCTATAGCCAATAATCACTCAAACGGTATCAATTCCCAAAACTCTTAAACACGATACCCCAACATAGTCACTGTAAGTCTGTAACAACTTAATCCATAAAAATAAGAAATTACGGGATAAAAAGAAGAAAAAAGCTAGGGTTTATTGGTTTAAGAACCCTTATTTTTCTTAAGAAGGTTAATAGAATAAGTAATTGAAAGTCACCGGTTTAGTAAAAACAAAGAGTGGAGAGTGAAGTGGCAGCGATTGCTGATCTTTGATTCAGATGAGTCGCATTTGAAATTGATGAAATAGATTGTAACTCCTTTAATGCCAAAAACATATTCTTCCAAATTTTCAAACCAAACCAAACAACCTTTAATCAGTTGTTATTACGGGGAAATTTAGCTGTCCGGCCATCCAAGTTTCCATTTAACAAAACCGCCATGAAAATCTTTTTGATTTTTTTTGGGTTAAAAAATATGACGTGACAAACTTAACGGTAATTAAAGCAGCAATAAGTATTTGGGTGAAAAGATTTAAACATATGTGGGTTAGCATATAATAAAGAGAAGTTGATTTAAAATTTAAAAGGCAGAACACATTTCTCTTAGGTTCTTTCTCTCCCTCGTTTCTTCTTTCAATTTTCTGCAATTTCTCAATTTCTTTTCTCTTTGCATTTTTTTTATTTCTTGCCATTCCCGATTAAGTTATAATGGCTGAGTCCTTAAAAAAACAGAAAAAAACCTATATACTCCCCAAATTGTAGGCACGACTGGGTCTACCAAAAATGAAGAAGAAGTAGTTGTGGTGAAGTAACTTTTGATGACTGAAGTTGCTCCACTAGGAGAGGAGACAGCGTCGACGGAAGACATTCTATTGGCAAAACAAGGGAGGGCAAGAGTTGAAATTGAAACTAAAGCGGAGGATGCCGACGCAAATTCCAAACGTCGGACATGATCACTTAAGCGATTTTAGATCGCTTAAGCGACCAAGAGTAAAAGCAAAGGATCGCTTAAGCGATCTGGTATATGACAGAAGATCGCTTAAGCGGTCTGGTATAAGCGATTTTAGATCGCTTAAGCGATCGTATATCTAGACAGAAGTTGATTCTACCTCGAACACGATCACTTAAGCGATTATAGATCGCTTAAAGTGACCAACGTTAAAAGCAAAGGATTGCTTAAGCGATCATGCGTCTGGGCATTTATTCATTGTCTTGTTCATGATCGCTTAAGCGATCGTAGATCGATTAAGCGACCAATAATAAAAGCGAAGAATTGCTTAAGCGATACTTAAGCGATCCTACGTCTGGACACTTATTTATTGTCTCGTTCATGATCGCTTAAGCGATCAATAGTAAAAGCGAAGAATCGCTTAAGCGATACACTTAATCGCTTAAGCGATTGTGCAGCGATCCTGTGTNTTCTTTTGATTAGCAATAAGAATTGATGTAATGCGGTTCAATTTGAAGCAATTAATTTCTCCTTGCAAACCCTATATTTACTGCTAGTCTGTGCGTCCAAAACGAAATTGGAGATCGAAGAATGATAAAGTTGTAGATATAAACCTATTGAAATGAATCTATTGAGATAATAGATTAATAGGTGTAATTTACCTTCAATGAATTGAGACTAATCTGTTAAGCCACAGCCGTGGGCCTATTTTGGTCGAGACAAATAGCTGGATTAGGCCATATTCTTAGGCTTTGTTTCCGTCGTGGAGTGAGTCTGGGTTAGGCCATTGCCATTGGACATTCCGATGTTTGGATTCTGAATTTGGGTTAGGCTATTGCAGGCTGAGTAGTAAAGGGTTTTGCAGTAGCATTGAGTCTGTTCCAGTCCATGACTTTGTGTACCCAGATAGCCGCCGAGGACATTTTTATATGTTTCGTCACATCAGTCGGCCTACGAATCTGCTTTTTGCGGTATAGGTCGGCAAAGCGTTTATTCCCAGTCAATAAATAAAGCGTCCATTATTAAATTTACAAGAAATTTGTCATTGGCGCATTGAAAACCTGATAAATGTTACTCCGAAAGAAAATGCACTAGTCTCTTTCTCTACAGCCAGGAATACGGACAAATAAATTTTGGTTTATAGACCTGTTACGTCTTGTCACTTTTCTACTAGAGGTTAGTGAATGGGATAAGAGGCCACCCCACTGTGCTTTTAGTATTGACTTATTTATGTTTTTAACGTTTTCAAGTTCAGTATCCTCAATGTACAGAGGGAATTATTAATTCTATCTGATGTATAAATGTAATTAATTCTTGTACGTATATGCAGCATATGTTGTATTCAGTATTCAGATCCTAGGAGCGAGTGTCAACTGTCAACAGACTTAAGGCTAACTACAAGTCAAAAGAAAGTTATGAGGCAGAGCAGATCAGTTGCACCAGTCATTCCATATTTTTTTCACGCTCGTATTCTATTTGTATACTCACCTATCACACCATCTATAAATAAGTAAAACCATGTCACTTCCAATTCTGTAGTAGTACTTTACTTCTGCAACCAAACTTATCCTTTTTATCACTTCTAAAGTCTCTCTTTCACTAATTGTTAATTACAATATGGTGGCTGCTATTTAATCAAATTAATTATCTTCTGTGACACGCTCAAAACAAAAGATTGATTGGTTCTCTATTTGTGATTGCGTAAGAGTCCTCAGAAGCAAGCCAGGACCATGTGTGAAAAGTCTGAAGGTTTTGAATTTTCTTCCCGTGTCTTGTTTTTTGTTGCCTTTATTCATTTGTTTCTGTAAGGGATTCTATTCCTTGGTACTAAATATACTGTTCTAAAAGGCTGTGTTTTTTTTTTTCTTTGTTGCAGAAGTTAGCAGTACTGAGTGGGTATTCATAAAGATGAATGAACAAGAAGAAGACCTAATTTATCGGATGCACCGACTGGTTGGAGACAGGTAAGAATTTTGTCTTTATATTTCAGCTTCTTCTTTATTCTCTTTCAGCGTTATCAATCAAATAAGCTGCCGGTTTCTTTCTAATATTATTCTACTTCTTTTTAATTTCCTGATTGCTTATTAGTGGTCGATATCTGTTACTCCATTTTTCCTCTACAAATTATTGAAGGGACTTTGAAACTTCTGCATGTTGTTTGAGTACAAATTAACTATACTCATAATCATAATAAACATTTAGCCTTATGTTTCATGAATTCAAGCACCTTTAATTTTTGCGTATATATTTGAGCGGCAGAGAAAGAGACAATTCACTGGATAGAGTGAGTCCCATGTGCACTGCCGGAGAAAATAACAGTATCTGGAAGTGGAAAAGCTAAGGAATAGTAACAGGTTTTAAGGCTACGCTACTCGTATCATTGAAGTCTTTTCACAAGCTGTACGTGGTTGCAATAGCCTATTATTAGGGTGTACTTAGTACTTACGACCTAGAATATCATAATTAAATTACAGCCAGAAGGTTTCGAGCACTGCAAATATGACAGTTAATTAAATGTTTTAAGACTTCTAGGATGAAAAAGATTTAAGATGCTGGGGGATTTAATTAATTTATAGCAAATCCTAAATCATTGAATGTGAAAAATAGTGTGAATAAATGACACCAAATAATCATCACATATAAACATAAAATTTATAGTGATTCGCTCTTTATATGAGAGTTACATCTACTTTGTTATTGCAAAATTTCACCATGAAGAAGAAAAAAAAAATTGCAAGAATCTTTCACAAGCCTTATGAATTGGTTCACTCACTAAACCTTATTTGGTGTCTTTCACTCTCTAATTGTGGCTTTACCTTCTATTCAATTTGTGATCTCTAACTCTAGGACTTAACCTCTTTTTATAGGTAATACATAAAACACATTTCCTAATATGACTCAAATCTCATATCCTAATAGGAATTATATTTTAATTCCTAATACAATTATAATCATATTTCTAATTGTATTCCTAAAAGAAAATAATTCTATATAAACACAAATTAGGAAAACTCATGTCCTAAACTAATTCTAATTTGGATTGAATTTGACTCCACAATCTCCCACTTGGAGACTAATTCAACATGTCTTCAATTCTTTGCTTCCATCAGCAGGGTCATCAACTTCTCTTTCTTCAAGCGAGAAGTCCAACTGAAGTTGTACACAACTTCAGTTTCTCAATGGTAACCACCTTCGTAAACATATTAGCTGGATTTTGACTCCCTTGAATCTTCTTGAGAGCTATAACTTCTTCTTCCAAAACTAAGCGTATGAAATGATAATGAACTTTTATGTGTTTTGTTCTAACATAGTAGACTAGGTTCTTTGCCAAGTGAATTGCACTTTGACTATCACAATACAAAGCGCTTATCTCATAATTCTGACCCAATTCTTCTAAGAACCGTTGTAACCATATTAGCTCCTTACTAGCTTCTGTCATAGCAACATGCTCTGTCTCTGTAATAGAAAGAGCAACAATCTTCTGTAACTTTGAAACCCAATTGACCGTTGTACCACCTAATGTAAAGACATAGCCCGTGGTACTCTTGCGGTTATCAATGTCACTAGCCATATCAGCATCCACATAACCTTGTAGCTGTAAGTCTGACTTCCTAAAGCATAATGCTAAATCTTTAATACCTTTCAAATATCTAAGAATCCATTTTACTACTTCCCAATGTTGTTTTTCCTAGATTGCTCATGTACCTACTCACAACTCCCACTGCATGTGCTATGTCTGGTTTTGTTCACACCACGACATACATAAGACTCCCAATCGCTGATGCATAGGGTACCTTCGCCATGTAGTCTCGCTTATGCTCTATTGTAGGTGACCAATCTTTGGATAGTTTAAAATGACTAGCCAAAGGAGTACTTACTGGCTTTGCTCCATCCATGTTGAATCTATGAGTACTTTCTTCACATACTCTTCTTGTGATAGCTTCAAGAAACCTTTGGCTCTATCTCTAGTAATCCTCATACCAAGGATTTGTTTTGTAGCTCCCAAATCCTTCATAGCAAACTCCTTTGACAATTGCCTTTTTAACTCGTCCATTTCCTATTTACAAGCCCCTGCAATCAACATATCATCTACATATAATAATAGGATGATATAGGAATTACCAAGTTTCTTGAAATAACAGCAATGGTCTGCTTGGCATCTTAGGAAACCGTTACTACACATGAACCCATCAAACTTCTTGTACCAATGTCTAGGCGCTTGTTTTAGCCCATATAGGCTTTTTCGAAGTTTGCACATTATTCTCTCATTTCCTTGTACTTTAAAACCCTATGGTTGCTACATATAAATTTCTTCATCTAGTTCTCCACGAAGAAACATCGTCTTTACATCTAACTGCTCAAGATGAAGGTCTTCTTTTGCCACTAATTCAAGTATTGTTCTTATTGTAATCAACTTGACAATTGGAGAGAAAATTTCAGTGTAGTCAATGCCTTCTTTCTGTTGAAATCCTTTCACAACCAGTCTTGCTTTATATCATTTGTTGCCATCATGTTCATCTTTCACCCGATAAACCCATTTGTTTTGCAATGCCTTCTTCCTTTGTGGTAACTTTGTCAACTGTCAGGTTTGATTTGTTAATAATGAGTCAATCTCATCCTTCATAGCTAGCTCCCACTTGATTGAGTCATCAACTTGCATTGCTTCCTCGTAACACTCTGATTCACCACCATCAGTTAATAAAATATAATGCAAAGAAAGGGAATACCTATGTGGTGGTCTTATAGTCTTGGAAGGTCTTCTAGGTTAAACACGGGTGTTTGTGGTTCAACTTCTTGAGCTATATTATCTTGATCTTCTTGCTCATTGTCTTGCATGTCATTCATTGAGAAGTCTTTCAAAGGAATTGCCTCTTGCTTCTTCACTTCAATGCTTAGATTTTCTAACTTCATGTTAAGCCTATCCTTGTACATCACTTCTTCATTGAATATGATGTCTTTGCTCCTTATAATCTTGTGGTTTTGATCATCCCAAAAACGATAAACAAACTCGGCGTCACCATAACCAATGAAAAAACATTTGTTAGATTTAACATCAAGCTTACTTTTAAGAGTAGAGTCAATGTGAACATATGATAAACAACCAAACACTCTTAAGAAATAATAATTTACCTCTTTGCCGCTCCAAACTTCTTCTGGGATCTTGCAATTTAGCGGTACAGAGGGTCCTCTATTGAGCAAGTAGGTTGCAGTATTAATTGCATCAGCTCAAAACGTTTGTGGTAGTCTAGCATGCAATCTCATGTTTATTTAGGGTTCTATTCATCCTTTCGGCGACACCATTCTGTTGAGGAGTTGTAGGAATGGTCTTCTTCATCTTGATCCCATTATTGGTACAATATGCTTTGAACCCTTGATCAATGTACTCTCCCCCATTATCGGATCGCAAGCACTTCACCCTTAGGTTTGTCTCATTTTCAACCATGACTCTCTACTTTTTGAAGTATCAAAGACATCAGATTTATTTTTCAAAAAATAAACCCATACCTTTCTGCTCACATCATCAATGAATGTCCCATAGTACTTTGAGCCTCCAAGGGATGACACAAGAGCGGGTCTCCACACGTTTGTATGAACCAACTCCAACTTCTTTGCCTTTGGTTCCCTTACTACTTTGGAAAAACTTACTCTTCTTTGTTTGCCAAAGATGCAACCTTCACACAAACCGTATCAATCAACTTCAACTCTGGCAGTTTTCCCTTTGATTGAAGCTCCTTCATTCCTTTCACGCTCATATGCCCAAGTCTACAATGCCACAAACTCGAGGTAACACTAGCATCTATGACTACAACTGAATCTCTGTACCTAGAAGTCATGTAAAGAGTTCCAGTTTTATTCCCATGAGCAACCACCATAGCTCTTTTAGTAACTTTCCATACACCACCTAGAAATGACACACTGTGCCCTTCATCATCAAGTTGCCCAACTGATATTAGATTGCGCATCAATTTTGGTACATGCCTTACTTTCTAGATTTTCCACACATATCTATTTGCCATCTTCAACCTAACATCACCCATACCTACAATATCCAAAGGTTCTCCATCTACCAGGTATACCTTTTCATGATTTCCAGCTGTATAATTTTCTAGAATTGCACGGTGTGCAATGATATGAAATGAAACTCTTGAATCTAAAACCCAAGAGTCAATAGAATTATCAACAGATAAAAGTAAAACATCTTGTACCTCCTCAGTTACGACATTCACGGCGTCATTATCGTTGTTCTCCTCCTTCTTTGGTGCTTTGCAATTCCTCTGTATGTGGCATTTGTTAACACAATTCCAGCACTCAACTTTTTTTCCAAACTTGGACTTGCTTCTTCCATTTCTTGATTTTGATCTTTCTCTACCTCGGTTTGAATTTCTATCGTAGCCCATGGCTTTTGTTTGAACATTCAAAGGCTTAAAGCATTTGATGTTATCTCACCCGAATCTTTCCTGCGAACCTCCTTAGCAAGAATTTTGTCTCTAACATCTGTGAGCTTTAATTTCACATTACCTGTTGAATTACTAATTACTGCTCTCATAGGCTCCCAATTATTTGGTAGGGAGGCCATAAGAATTAGGGTACGAACTTCTTCATCAAAATCAATTTTTACAAATGATAGTTGATTAATAATTGTATTAAAATCATTCATATGCTCTGTCACGGAAGCACCTTCTCTCATCTTAAGATTAAATAATTTTTTCATAAGATATATTTTGTTATTCGCAGAAGATTTCTCATACATATCAGACAAGATCTTTATCAACCCTGTTGTGGTTGTCTCTTTCGCCACGTTACTTGCCACGTTCTTGGTCAATGTCAACCGAATAACTCTTAATATTTGTCTATCAAGGAGTGTCTAATCTTCATCTGACATCTTTTCGGGTTTTGCTCCTAGGAGAGGTAGATGTAATTTTTCGCCATACAGATGATCTTCAATCTGCATCTTCCAAAACGCATAATCTGTTCTATCAAACTTGTTGATCCCAGGTGCAGATCCTCCTTCTTCTCCAATCGTCACTTTCTTCATTGAACATTGCTCTGATACCAAATGTTGGGGGGATTTAATTAAATACTAGTAAATCCTAAATCCCTGGAAGCGAAAAATAGTGCGAATAAATGATACAAAATAACCACACACATAAACACAAGATTTATAGTGGTTCAATCTCCGTATGAGGGCTATGTTCATTTTGCCGTTGCAAAATTTCACTATGAAGAAGAAAAAAAAATTACAAGAATCTCTCACAAGCCTCACAAATTGGCTCACTCACTAAACCCTATTTGGTGGCTCTCACTTTCTAACTGTGGCTTTGCCTTCTATTCAATTTGTGGTCTCTAACTCTAAGGCTTAACCCCCTTTTTATAGGCAACACATGAGACACAATTTCTAATAGAACTCAAATCCCATATCCTAATAGGAATTATATTTTAATTCCTAATACAATTATAATCTTATTTCCAATTGTATTCCTAAAAGAAAACAATTCTACTTAAACACAAATTAGAAAAACCCAAGTTCTAATCCAATTCTAATTTAGATTGAATTTGGCTCTACAGTCTCAACACAAGAAGGTAATGATTCTTCTCTGTATGTTAAACATATGACTTTTTAGCTAGCGTATGCCTTTTCAGCAAATTAAATTACTTCTTGTGATCTGAGGCCAAAAAAATTGCAGAAACGAAAGAAGAACAGATGAAACATACATGCATTTAAAATAGTCTTACCATTATAAGCATTTTCTAGGCCATGTCTTCTCAGTTAGCAAATTAGTTTTTCTGAAGAAAAGGGTTTTAAAAATGGAAAAAGAAAACCGGCTAACATGCATGCATTGCCATTTATATGGCGATGACAAATAATTAAGCAAAGGACCTTGCCTTAAAGCACTGCCGTCTTAAAGTCCTATCCTGAGCTTGACCGATTCTCTTAAGTGGTTTGCCACACCACATTTTTTCCTGTTTCAAAATTTGATTCTATGCATGTGTGTGGAGGGTAGTATATGTGTACTTCAGGGATAGGTATTACTAGTTGCCACAAGTTAAACCACAACCATATAAAATTTTCACCCTTTTCTTGAATCAAAATGTGTTTACGAACTCTATTTTTGCATTTTCAAAATCAAGTAAATAAGAAACTTAATTAATTCATATATACGGTTTCAAGTACAGGTGGGATTTGATAGCTGGACGGCTACCAGGGCGAACAGCAGATGAAATAGAGAGGTTTTGGATTATGAGACATAGCCAAGTATTTGCTGAGAAAAGAAAGGAGCAGCAGAAGGCTTTGGCCTTGGCCAAAAATAATTCATAATGAATTTCCCCCCACATTTATGTTCTTGTTGGTATATATATAATATAATTCTTAATTATTACCTTCGATCTTCTGCTAGCTAGTTCATTGCTTGTGGTGATCATATTCATATTTTTCCAGTGTTTTAAGATCCGACCCAAGCTTTGACTCGGTTAAAGACTTGAGTCTCAGGTTAATCGGTTCAACCGATAGATTAGATTGGTGATGTCATCAAGCTGACATCAGCATGATTAAAAAAAATTAAACTGAATTAAATACGATTTTAGAAAAAGAAAAACTACCTTACACTTAATTCAAAATAATGAACAAGCAAATGAATTAATTAAATTAAAAGTGAATTGGAAAACATAAAGAGCATCTAATTAAATTAAAAATCTTATCTCTTATCCTTATCCCATCCTCATTCTCCCAAACAAGATCGCAATCATCCATTTCTTCTTATCCTCTTTATCCCAAACAAAATCCCAACATCCATTTCTTCATTCATCTCCACCCCTGCAAACACATCTCCCACATCCGATCAAACAAACTCACATCTTTCCACATTTCAATCATCAAACAAAAATCACCAAACCACGATCATCATCAAAAATCTTAATCATAATCAAAATCCAATGGAGCACCCACCAAAGTCAATCCTCTTCATGCCCACAGCCCCAACCTCCTTCCTCGCTGCTACTGTTGTCGTTGCGCCTTTTCAGTTTTCACCACCTCCTTCAATAACAGAAAAATCAGCTCCAAATGTTTTGGTCTTACCGGCGTTAAGAAATCGACCAAATCAACGATTTCAAGAACCACCAGCTGCCTTCTGCTCGCATTTAAGAGAATCCTTGATGTAGATTTCATTTTTACGGATTGAATTGAACTTTGAAGACCCAGGTACAAGAACCAAAATTTTCACCGGTTTTCACATTTTTAGTGACCCGGTTTTGATGCCGGACCGGTTGAACTGGCGGATTGTTACTGTTTATCCGGTTTAACCCCAGGCCAATCCGGGTTAAATGGCATAAATAGGTTTAAAGAATGTCCGGATCAGTAAAAGCCCCGGGTCTCGGTCAGACCGGTCGAATCGGTCGAGCTGGGCTGGGTTTTAAACCATTGTATTTTTTAATTATGTTGTGCAAAAAATACACACTGATGTCAACACCACCAATTAGAACTTAACAAGTACTCAAAGACAAAGTGGTGTTAGCTGTCAAAACTCAAACCGCCTCAAAGAGATATTTTATATCAATCACATTCATTTTAAGAAAAGGATTAAGGAGTAAGAAGTGGTTCTCACGTGTTAAGGCAACTTGCAAAAACACTCATTACGTTGACCTTAAAGGTATAAATAGAAACATCTCTTCACGAAAGAGGAGGTTAGGTATATGAGAGATGGACACAAACAAGAGCTTCAACCATTACTTTTTCTCTGTAAATAAAGTATTTTTCAATTTTTATACGTCTTATAAGCAATATCAGAAAAATAGTCAGAGAATAATAAAATAACAGTGAATGTATGGATTTGCTTTAAGCATCTGAACCATTATAAAAATTTCTCTTGTCAATCTATTATTTATATTCTATACCATGATTAGCTATCTCATGATCATTCACGTGTAATATGTAAAAACACCTTAATATTTTACATGTATAAATCCTTAGTATCAAAATCACCTATCAACGAATTAGTTTTTCATTTTTGTAATTGTTACTTAAGTGAACAATTAAGTTTTTTATTTGGGAGACTGAATAAAGTGGACACTCTGGCTGGTTCTGCTTTACAGAATTCAAGTATTATTAACTGGGCCACGGCTTCCTAATTTCCCTCCTCCATTTATTTCCAAAAAAACATATCAAATGCTTAACCGCACTTAATGTTTCACGATCCCAATGTAACTCAAAACAAAATCGTGATAATCGCGGAAGCGGTTGGGATTTGACGAGGGTGTTGAATTGTCTGATCACCACACAATTCTAGAGCTTTATATATACTGTGTAAATAAATAAAATAAAAAATAGACAAAAATAATGCGTGCGTGGGAAACAAAGTAAATTAAAAACGATGATAACACATGCAATACGATTGTAACGTGCTCGTTTTGGTGTTAAGGAAATGACTTCTAGCCGTTTCTTTTGCCATATTCAAAAGATGCAAAGATTATACGTTGACTAAGGTTATGTGAATGATGACATGATCTTTAAGATATCAATCTGTTAGACCCATAAATTGATTCAATCTTCCTTAATTATCTCGATTATGTAAATTTCCTTACATTTGTATTCTTCTGTGTATACTCAAATACAATTCCCTCTTATTGCAACTGTCTTCAATTTCGTGCATATTTATATATTGTGGACATGTTTTGTACATTATTTGAATATATCTTATTGTATACCCAAAATCTAATTGTTTAAATCTTGTATCACGTATTGTGTTGTAGGATAAACCTTTTTAAAAAAATAATAATAAATTAAAAATTTTAAAAATTAATATTATCCCTAAGATTAATTAACGAATTTTATGATATTATTGGCTTTAAATTATGATATTACATAATAAAAATTAATCACAAAATTATTGGCTATATGGCTCAACTTGGATATGGGTTTCATCAAGATGATTTTTCATTGGATTACACCACCCCAATATGGTACATGTAAGATGCAATCTATTTTTCTTATTCACTTTTTTACAATGCTCCCATGTAATATCATCTAATTTTTCCTTCTTATTTCTTATGATTTAAATCTCAGACTTAATCTAATGGACCAAAAGAGGCTGCAAAAAAACAAATGAAAAAGCATAAACATAAGGAAAATAAATCAAAATTCATATACAAGAACTCTATAAATTTGTTTTCCATAAAAAAAATACGATTAAGAATTACCTGATATTCTAATATTATATTATTTAATTACTCAGGTTGTATTCAACAAAGATGGTCTTATAATAAATTATTATTAAAAGATGGGTCTCATCTAATTCTAAAGATTCAGCATTCCAATAATATCATCGATTCATCCAAGTATACTATAATCCAAAGTTTAAAAAGATTTGGGCAACATTAATTTGACCGTAATGCAATTTGTTTAACGGCAAATACCCAAATGGTTACTTTTAACTGATTATTAAAAGGTGAGAGGATTCCATGTAAAAAGGTTTAACTTCGCAAGTAGGCTCCATTATTCAATTAAAAGCAATAGCATGTTAAATGTCGTTCATGGAATGCATAAATAATGTGATTAGCCCATGGAAAGTAAAATCACTTTTTGATTTATGATAACAAGACGAACAAATGAAGGATTTTGTAATATTATATTACTTATAAAGTCTTCAACAAAAAGCAGGGGATTAAATCTATAATGAAAAGAGAAAAAGAGCAGCTTAATTTACCTGAATCAATTTGTCCAGAACTCAGGTGATGTCCAGCTTAATTGGTTTAATTGCTAAGGAGTGGGGACCAAGAGGCACAGTTGCTCTTTCACCATGAGTGAATCTAGATGGGGTAAAATTAGGGAAGGATAAATTTGAGTAGGTTTTAGCAAGCTAGGGTCGGGTGACCCAGATCCGACCCAATCCATTTCAAACCGATCCAAATTTTTTGGACCAAAATTAATAAAGTCATATCGGTTTGTATTGATATTTTTAAAGATACAAACCGATATGTATCGTATTGTAAAATACATATCAATGTAATGAAAGGTTTAAGATATACTATCTGATACGTATTATTGGTGACCCGTATCAAATCATATTGTAGGATACGTATCGCGTATCATAGGATAGTGATAACCATGATTTGAAATATGATTTTCTGAAAAACTATTTTGAATAGGATATGATATGATTAAACCAAATAGGATAAGATTTTGAGAATTTGTTTGGTATATTTTTGGACAAATTGTTTTGAAAATATTTAGATTACTTTTTGTTCCCTTATATTTGTTAATTTAGCTAAATACCTCTCACAATAAAAGTTTATAAATTAACAAAAATACCCCCACCCACCTAACCGACTGTCAACAGCTAGCCACCACCGTCAGACAATAGTCGACAGTCGTCGGAATGGCTCACAACCGATTGGATCTGATTTTTTCGGCCAGATCCATCTTGTATCTGACGGGAAACGGTTAGATCTACGACTAGAATGTAGAATCTGGCTGTCAATGATAGCAAAGATGTGGCTGTCGTCAACGACCAGATAGATCTAGATTTAAATTTGGCCGTTTTCGGCTAGATCCATAAAAACAGTCAGATCAACACATGATCGGTTACATCCGATCGATCGTGCGTCATTTTGGCGCTGGCCGCCAGTGATGGCCTGTGGCAACGACGAGCAGTCGGCGATGGTTGCTTGTGGGTCGATAGTGGCTTGGGTGGGTGAGGGTGTTTTTGTTAATTTATAAATCTTTATTGTGAAAAGTAATTATTAAATGTTTTGAGTTGAATAGAATATGATTGGATTTTGAATTGAATTCTGTCAATATTAAAACAAACATTTTTTTTACTGTTTACTTTAAATTAGATAATATAATAGAATTTTAAAAAGTTAAACAAACAGGGGGTGTATTTTCTTAAAAATTTTCGAAATAAATTTAAAATTATTATATAGAATTTTTAACAATAAATGGAATGAGATGGTCAAGGGAGAATCAATAATAAAACAAAAAAAAGTATACTTTTAAAATACGGATTTAAAGAAATCTAGTGAGTGTTTATTGTACCGTTGACATCAAATGAAAGTTTGGGACCATGTCGTCCTAGGACTACTC